CTCTCCAGCATTTTGATACAGAAAAGCAGGTCTTCTCATTTTTGACAGGCGTTGACAATGCCAGTCTGCTTCAAGTCGGACTACGAAAAACACTTTGACATGTAACAATCAGCTGGTCAAAAAATATGTAACAAAGACTTTGTTATATATTTTAGTCAGTTCGCATATACTGCATAATTTTGGATGAAAACTGGTAATTCAAGTAATTTTGGTGACAGCAGGAGATTTATCCCTATCCATAAAATACATTTAGCAGTTTCCGTTGCGGTATATTGATATTTTTTTTTCATTAACAGGATGCGATACCACTTTGGCATTTTTGGAGAGAAAAAAATGTCATGAAAACCAGAGACATATATACACATATGTGTATATATGTCTCTGTGAAAACGTTGAAGAATTCTTCTGCAGGTGTAATCAGATAGAAATATTGTGGAAGTCATGAAAATAAATAAAAAGCTGGATGAGCTTGAAAGGTTGGTTCTAAGGTTTAAAATTTTTCACTAGGACCTGAATAAATAGCATCATGCAAGGATAGTAATCTAGTTAGACTACCACTATACAAGACTTCGTTCAACCAACATATCATGAGAGTATTTTTTCATACAAGGATATGCACAGGAATCCAAGACACCAATATCTTCTTCTTTCAGTTTGGCTGGGGAAAAGCTAACGAGAATGTTCAAACGATATATTTTAAAATTCGAACTTATCAGATGTAATATGCACATGTAGAAAAGATATAGAATTATTCACCCTTGGTTTAAGAGGTCTCCATTGACCCTTTATACATGGTCCTGTATGGAAAGCGCCACTATCTCTGTGAGGTAACTGTACTATAATTTAAAAATCCAGATGCAAGAAAATACTTTTTACATTGTGTAGAGTCAAACTCGTTAAAGGGGGGGGTCTTCCAGACAGACATTCGGCCGTTAGTTTTATTATCGTTTGAATTGTTTTACTTTGTCATTTCGGGGCCTTTTATAGCCGACTGTGCGGTATGGGCTTTGCTCATTGTTGAAGGCCGTACGGTGACCTATAATTGTTAATTTCTGTGTCATTTGGTCTCTTGTGGAGAGTTGTCTCATTGACAATCATACCGCATCTTCTTTTTTATATTCATTTTACCTATTGCTTATCTGAATTTTTAGTTTTTTCCTTCTTATTTTCAATTTTGTACACAGTAAATTTCTGCATTTGTGGGGCAGAATATTTATTTTCATCCTGTCAATATCAATTTGTTTTTTGTCCTTCACATGCCAAGATAATCATTTCCAACCCCAACCCCCGAAAATCACATGATCTTCCCTGATCAATGATTATGTGATTGGGGGTTACATCTACTTCATAGATATTGATTTGTCGCTTATCACATTTCCTGTATATATGGTTTGTTGAGAAATAAAGATCTATTTACGTGTTTGGTTTAGAGATAAACAAATTTTAGGCGGGGAAAGGAATCATTTGTATTTGAATGAAATGTATGGGAAACTTATGTTCGACATTATGAAAAAAAAATTAAAAAAGGACTGAAAATTAATCGTCCGAAGTGTGTTTGAAATGTGAATAAAAGAAGTTATGGGGTTACTTCATTGAGACAGCTACCTGTATAAACATGATTCAAAATATGTATTGATAAATATCAACGGGGGTTACTAGGCAAATCATTTTAATGCATTGTCAAATAAATGCTAGAGGGGTTGCAAAATACAAGTAAAATGTGAAATTCAGTGAGTAGAGGACAGCCTTATTAAAGTAATAATTATTTCTCCAGGTATTACGTCGAGTGAGCAAATGCAATTCATATAAAATAAGGAGATGTGCTATGATTGCCAATGAAACCTAAGATGTGAACAATTCATGTTACCCTTCTTTTCCTTTGGTATCCGACATTTAATCTCGAATTTAAATCTACTGAATTTGTTTTCATGTTGGCAATAACAAATGAATTTATATTGGGAAATCAATTAACAACACACAAAAAACAGGTGAGAAAATAATCATTATGTAATAAAAAAACAAGTAAATAATCAATACGCAATTCAAAAGTCTTATATCAACTAAATACATACACTGTTCTTACGACCGAATAGGAGATGAAATTGTTTATGCTTAAGGGGGAAAATAATGTAGGTTCTGGGTTTTTTTTCAGTTTTGCTATTGAAAAAGAAATTGTGTTCATCCTCCAAGATACATTTTTTTTACTTGTACAACACTTACTCTTGACATTATTATCATTTTTATGTTTCCTATTTAAACAGTATTGAATGACCCCACGCCTTTTCTCATATTCTTCTAATCAACAAAAACTTCCATCTCGGGTTTTCACTCTCACGCCGATAGACAAGGAGATTCATTTCGGAATGATGCCGTGCGGGAGGATCGAGAAAGATTCTGGATAAAGGAAATTTACGTGCTTCATCCAAATAGCATTAACAGAAGGAAATAGACGTTTTAGATTTGTTCATCAGTTTTATTTTTTACTGTATATATATATATATAATTCTTCTAAATAACAGCCCAACAATGTTAGATCTGTAAATTTGCGGAGGCAAATTTTTTGTTCTTCCCTGGCCGGGATTCGAACTCATGCTATTATATATATATTGGCGATTGCCAAATAAACGGATCACCGATGTAATAAACGGATCTTAATTTTAAATTTAATACTAAACAAAAAACAATAAACTTGCGGAAAAGATGATATACCGCAAACAAAAGGTGCAAAGGTTTTTGTACACCATATCCGGATTTCGACAATTAATGTCTCTTCAGTGATGTTAGGAATCGAAACAGTATTTGGAAAGCCATACAATTTACCTCAATTTAGGATAGACTCTTGAATTTTGAGGAGTCAAAATAGGATGAACGGATCATATAAACCCGAAGGCAAATATAATACAAGTCCAAACGAAAAAATATAAACAAGTCTAAATTGAAAACAACGTTCAAACCTATGATTGCGTTGGATAAAAACCGCAATTTTTATACGTGTGCATGCAAAACAAATTTCTTGTTGGAGGGGTCTAAATACAGCACAAACAACATTTTCCAAAAGACCAAAAAAGTGAAAAAGTATATTTTAACAAAACGCATTTGACTAACAGGTCGAACAACAAATGTTCTTAAACCCTGCTGACTGCCACTGGCGATTGCCAAATAAACGGATCACCGATGTAATAAACGGATCTTAATTTTAAATTTAATACTAAACAAAAAACAATAAACTTGCGGAAAAGATGATATACCGCAAACAAAAGGTGCAAAGGTATTTGTACACCATATCCGGATTTCGACAATTAATGTCTCTTCAGTGATGTTAGGAATCGAAACAGTATTTGGAAAGCCATACAATTTACCTCAATTTAGGATAGACTCTTGAATTTTGAGGAGTCAAAATAGGATGAACGGATCATATAAACCCGAAGGCAAATATAATACAAGCCCAAACGAAAAAATATAAACAAGTCTAAATTGAAAACAACGTTCAAACCTATGATTGCGTTGGATAAAAACCGCAATTTTTATACGTGTGCATGCAAAACAAATTTCTTGTTAGAGGGGTCTAAATACAGCACAAACAACATTTTCCAAAAGACCAAAAAAGTGAAAAAGTATATTTTAACAAAACGCATTTGACTAACAGGTCGAACAACAAATGTTCTTAAACCCTGCTGACTGCCATTGGCGATTGCCATATAAACGGATCACCGATGTAATAAACGGATCTTAATTTTAAATTTAATACTAAACAAAAAACAATAAACTTGCGGAAAAGATGATATACCGCAAACAAAAGGTGCAAAGTTTTTGTACACCATATCCGGATTTCGACAATTAATGTCTCTTCAGTGATGTTAGGAATCGAAACAGTATTTGGAAAGCCATACAATTTACCTCAATTTAGGATAGACTCTTGAACTTTGAGGAGTCAAAATAGGATGAACGGATCATATAAACCCGAAGGCAAATATAATACAAGCCCAAACGAAAAAATATAAACAAGTCTAAATTGAAAACAGCGTTCAAACCTATGATATATATATATATATATATATATATATATAATTTTATTTCATGTACTATACCATTGCATAGACACTGACGCATGACCTTTGATGTGCCGAAACATTTCGGTCAATATGATGTTTTTTCATCCTATTCGTATATATTAACTTTCTATCAGTATCGTTGCACACATCTTTACATTTATATTTTTTCTTGTTTGTGCAGTCTCGTCAATTCTAGACGATTCTTACTGATTCGGTTCTTAATTTGCTAGTTTGTTGTCTTCTTTATACTCTTATGTTTCGTACATCTATTGGTCCCAGATTTTAAAATGTAATATTGAACAATAGATTGACTCAAGCTACAGTAATTAAAAATATAACTACGAGGAGACACGTTTCGTTCTTTGACACATCCCTCAGTTGGTGTTTGAAGAACTAAAAAAATAATTAATTGTTATTTGCATGAAATTATAGCTGTCAGTATGCTTATCAAGATTTGATAGTGATTACACTGATTTCGTATTGTTATCCTTGATTGACTGTGAATGTAGACCAGTCCATTCACGGGGCACCGAAAGGTATTACTTCATTAGAATCACATTGAATTCCAATGCACTGGTACCATTTAATGTATATAATTGATTTAAAAAAAATATACAAACTTAAAACGTATTTCTTACATTTCGATTTCCAATTTTGAAAAGAATACTTCTTAGTCAATTGCTTGATTCGCCCCTGCATAAAAATAACTAGTTCTAATCATTTGGTAAGATTAATGCGGTAACGTTAACCTCCCCAACAAAAATGATAAATTTTCGTGGAATTTCAAAGCATTATTATTACTTATATCTGTTGAAAGAGAAATTACAAGTCGAACCGAAAATATTCATATTTCTATTTTTAACAGAAAATGTCATCATGTAATATTTTTTCTTGACGTTAACCATAAAAAGATTCATTTGTAAAATTGACAGGTTCGCCGGAGGTAAATAGAACAGCGTAATTCATCGCCCTGCACGTTTCAAGTCGGAACTGAAAACAGTATTTTTTATTGGATTTTTCCTGTTCTAAGTTCATCATATCGTTACTTTAACCACTCAGGATATTAGGTAAATAATAGTTCTATAAATGCACCATGGTCATTTTGTTGAAAAATATCTTTAAATAGGTAAAAACTTACTTCAAAGTGAAAATTTCTTTGTTGATTACATCGCTTGTCGGTCAAATATTTGTTGACACTACGGTTAAGAAAAAGGTTAATTGTGTTGATTAGACGGATTGATAAATTAATTGGATTAGTGATGATAATAGCTAAAAGATTGTTCTAAATATTAGTCACCAACATTTGATGATTTGATAACTATTTTAAGTATATTTTTCAGTTTTTATGTTAAAAGATCGCGTTTCATACATTGAAATTTTCTACTTGTCGATTCCGTTGAATGATAAAACATGTTTCAAAATAGATTTGTACATATCACGTCACAATTTCTTTTTATTTTGAGCAGCAAGAAGGCGATGTCGAGTGAAAGGGGAAGCACTGGTCGTGGTAGAGGACGAAGGTCAAGAGGGGGACACGAAGAAACAAACGGAGGCCCAAGCACTAGTTCTGGTGCAGCCCCGGTCCCTGAGACACCCCTCCCTGTCCCCTCAGCAACAAAGTCATCATCCACCAAAAGCATTAAACCGACAGGAACGAGTTTGAAAAGGTGAGCAAAGATGATTCTCAATGTGTCCTTTTTGTATTGTTCGTTGTACGATCTCTTCCGTTGAACATAGCCGGGACTATCTCATTTGCATATAACATTTTACACTTCGTCTCTTGAAAACTGTTGTATACTTGTATATTAAATATATATCTTCAAAATCCGTGTGATCTCTAGTTTGTCATGTTGGAAAAAATTTGAAAATCGGTTGTGTAGTTTTCGAGAAATTTGTAATTGAATTTTTTCTATGTATTAGGCCAAGCCAATTACAAACATTTATGTTGTGTTTAAACATACCTTGAAGGGCCAAATAAACATGTTGACATTATTTATTGTAGAATTCAGAAAGAATTGGCTGAAATAACATTGGACCCACCCCCTAACTGCAGGTAAGCAAATTTTATTACTTTTTGATTATGAACAATTGATTTTAAAATTGCTTTCTGAAGTCACTATGTACAGGTACAAGATATATATTCAGTAGTTTGCCAAATGACTGTTTTAGGATTTTAGAAACTGTAATGATTAAGTAGTCATCCACAGTTTTTCTCACAACTTAGAATTTGTGTTAAAATTAATAATTCAGTGATTATAATCCAAACGCCAATAAAAATGATAGTCCATGTCAGCCTTTTTATGTACAGTTTACACATAAAGAAATTGTTGTTTTTATAAAAAATTTTTTTTAAAGAATCCCATTTAATATCAAACTTTCATGTACAGATAATATTAAACATTGATCATAAATGGAATATTTTATTTCAGAATCTGAATTATATCATTGTATATGAAATTGGATTTTAAAAAAAAATGAATAGATGTATATTTAATGAAGGATTATTGTTATTAAAAAACATTCATAGGATTAAATAACGAACACAATTTACGATGCTAATTGAATTGTTGTTGACTATTTATAAATAACTTCTTTATAAAAAATGCTTCAATATTTGTAATTTCTTGACTTAGTCATCTTACATGTGTCTTTATGTCTATTGGCATCCAACACAGTAGTAACACTTGCATCAAAGGAACACCAATATTATGACATCCTTTTTTGTGCTGCATATGATGTATTATGAGAAGAATATACCGTACCCCCTAAAAAAAATCACCAGAGATAAGGACAAATTTCTAAACATTTTTTTTGTACAAGATATATATACATTCATACTTTAATAAGTTGCATCACTTGTAGCAGCCTGTATCACAGGTGAAATCAGGAGTAAATGCTATTGTTATCACATACCAGTACATGTACTATGAAAATTTGAACTGAAGAGTTTGATTTTTTGGTCTGAATTTCGGTCACTTAGCTAGGACATTTGTCTTTAATATTCAAAGGAAAGGACTTCTTTACTTTATTTGGTCACTATTGTGTGATTTTCAGAGTGCATTCTTCTACTAGCATTTAGTGTTGGTTTGTCTAACTCTGAGAGAAAAAAGTTATGCATTGAATAAGTAAAACAAAACACTTTAAAATATTTTAACTCTCTGTATTGGAAAGCTAATTCACTGCACATCAGTGTCATAAACATACAACTGTCTTGTTCATTTCCATGCTTTGATTATCTTAAATGTGGTATGTCTTCATGTTATCACTTTCCAAATATTGTCGGGTTAGCCCTGATCAAATTTTATTTGGCCATCATCATGATCATGTCCTGAGCCAATAAATACAGTTAAGATATCATGCCAGAGTCCTAAAACAGTCCAGCTTTCGAGCCCTGATCAAAATGTATTTGGCTATATATCATGCCCTGAGCCAGTTAATACATGTACAGTCAAGATATTATGCCAGGATCCAAATACAGTCCAGATATCATGGTGTTATGGTATCATACCTTGTCCAAATACAGGCCAGCTATCATGCTCTGATCTAAACAACATGTATCCACATTATGGTCCAGCTGTCTTGGCTTATCACAATGGAAAGGCTTTAACATAATTTCAGATACTTAAAAATTAATTTATTGTAAGGCGTCTACTTTTGTGAAGAAATAGTTATGGTGTCAGACATGTCAGATGTTAGATGAACATATATTTTCAGAAGATAGCTTTGCAGCCATTAAAGAACAGTGTTACATTACTTTATTGACAAATGTATTTAATGAGATGAAAGCAGTCACTGCAGCTGTATAGATGTCATCGCTGTTGAGGCTTGCATTTTATACATTTGGTTATAATTCGCTCCTATATTTTTTATAAACAAATTTTCAACTTGGGAATCTGATAGATGGATTATAGATCTTTCTTAATCTGTGCTTAAGTAAATCAGCACTTTTTTAGACTTGGGATTAAGAGCTTTAAATATTTTGTAGACACTTGCTTATTGTTGAAGACTGTATGTAGAATTCTAGATGTCTTTTGGGTTTTTGAGTCGTTAGGTTGCTGTCTTAATGAATAAACCCTCTCCTTGTACATGTATAAATACATCAAGAAATTAAGAAATTGCTGCAAAGTGAGTAAGAAAGGGCTATGCACAATATAAAGTATACTGGAAACTCAAAACATGTATCACCTAAAAGCTTATTTTGATAAACCGTTTTTACAAGTATTTAACAAGGCTATAATACTAGATATAATGAACATGCCTTTGTGATTATATGTTTTAATCAATAGTGAACTTTGTAGGTTCTGACTGATCCATTTGTATCATTAGAAATCACACCATCTTCAGTCATTACCACATAGCTTTTTTCAGCAGTCAGTGGCCATGTAACCTGGAATATAGGTTGTAGACCAGAACATCATTGTTAATAATTAAGTCTGGTTACACATTCATTTTTAACTAAGCTCTAATTTAAACTTATAAAGCATTCAAAATCAGTTTTAAGAAAATAGTTGTTGCTCAAAATAAAAACCCGATATACATGATTATAATATAAAACAACACCTGTGCAAGAATGATAGTTGACTATTTTAGAGACATTCCATATTCAGATTCTTTATTAAGATAACTAATAGTACATTAGTGTTCTCCATTACAAATCATATGATAATATACAAAACAACATTTCCAAGTTGTACATGTAGTGTATATATATATATAATAATATAATTGTACCCATAATTTTAAGAATTGTTTCTTATTTCTAATGCATCTCTAATAAATTTGTATAAATAATTACATTCAGTAATACTTTGTGGATTTAAAAGTTTAGAAACTGAAAAATAATTATTATGTGAATCTTTCAAATCTAAACCATAAGATTGGAAAAAAGTTTCCTTATATCTTCATATTTATCACAAGATATTAAAAAATGTTCTGTCTCCACATCAGTACAAAATTTGCAAAAACGTCGTTCTCTTGGAATTTTGGGTTTATTATATCTACCCCGTTCTATATTTAAACAATGAGCACTGATACGTAGTTGTGTAATTTTACTTTTTACATATGTATAATGTATATATACTTCGTCTGAAATTTAGGCCAATAATGTTAGACCTATAAATTTGTTACAATTTTTGTTCTTCCCGCTGTCGATTTGAACCCCTGCTTCTGTGACATCGTGACAACATTGCTTGAACTGTGTCCAGCGTCCTAGACCACTTGACCAACTAACTATATAAAAATATAGCTTTTTGTTAATCAAGTATTGCCTTTCCTAGTCAGCTTTATGTAGTGTTGTACCACAGTACATGATGTATTGTGGCAAGTAGATGTATAAAAATAATGTATATACTATGAAACTAACAATCCCAGTGACTCTCTTTTTGTGCCACAGAACAGCAGTGGTGACTGGTCAACTGCAAATAATGAGAACAGTTCATTCATCCTGGACTATCATTATCTGTTGGTTACTGCATCAAATGGTTAGTCTTTTTAAATAAACTGGGTTGTGGGGACTCTGCATTGATATAAACAGCAGTCCCTAGTAGACCCCAAATGGAGACATGTTAACAATGTGTAATAGTCAGTCAAAGGTAAATAGTCTTGTGGGAGACAACTTCTATTTAAAATTTAAATATTACCACGGTTGTTATTTGGTGCCTTAAGGATTGAAAGGCTTATTAAGCCGACTTGATCAAGCAGCCAGTAAAAATGTTCTCAAATTAAAAATCATTGATTTAAAACATCAATGGAAAAATCCTGATGGATATATATTACTGAACTTAAGGTTCTTAATGATTAAGTTGAAATGGTCTTTGAAAGTTTTGTGGATGCTATTATGACTTGATTTAACATCACAGGAAATCTGTGTCACAGATAATGATTAATCTTTGTTCATTATTTACAAATGTACTTATATAACTACATGTAGTACAAATTTTCAATATTTTTTAATAAAAATAATTGAGAAGGATCCACACAATACCTTTCAGAGGTGGAAATTTATTGTGAAATATGTTCGCATTTATATAATCTTTAGCTATAAACTTTGACCACAATGAGGATATAGTAAGTGAACATTTTTTTGCTTGGTGAACTTATCCATTTAAAAGGCCAGGTAAAAATAATTATTATATAGTTAAAGGATTTATTTAGAATTCAATGGATTGTGTGAGAATTTTAATACAGGTGAACACATATCAGGGCTATAGAAGTTCAATAAATTACAAACAAATAAGCCAACTGTTCCATTGTTTCATTTTGTTGGAGAAATATTCAGTTTTTCACATCTTAAGTACAGGAAGCTTGTAATTATAAATCATAGTAGAAAACTTTCAATATTGATAAACAGCCAAATAAGAATTAGTTGGCAAATCTATTAAAAAAAAATTATAATGGACAAATTTTGATGAGGATTTTATTTTGTTTCGCCTGCTTTCCTGGTACAATTTGATTTTAATGTTGTTTTTCTTAGAATTATATGCTTTTTTGTCTCATTGTAAAATGAAATATTCAAGTACTAGTGGACAAAGAAAATAGTATAAACCCTCTCAATTACCGGATTTGACAAATGATTTCAAACTATGAAGTAACAAATCATTGTGGGATGTGGGACAAGTTTATACCTCTGGAAATTGATAAAATGTATTACCTCAGGGTACAGTGGAATTAAGATAATTTCTGCCTTGAGAATTTAGATTAGATTAATAAAAAAAAATGTGAATTATACTTTTAATGAGAACCTTTAATCCCACAGAAAAGTTTATAAAAATTGCTACAGGATTCCTTAATGATTAAACACTTTATATGATATAACGTTGGGATTAAATATCTATTTATATTATTGAAAAATACACCAAATGTGATTATTAAAGACAGATTAATAACACTGAATATATCTATCTTAGCCTTAGAATTATGTATTTATTGGTATGTGGAACCTGTCATAGCCATCACTTCAAAATGAATATTTATTTGTTGTGTTTATTTATGTATCTGTTTGTATGAAGATATTTTATCGTTTATCCACAAGTTGTTCAGTTAGCGCATGTGCAA